CTCCCTCTCCAGTATCTACACTATCTTAACTTAGTGTGTTCGTGTATTGTGAAATATCATCTGTCATTGTGTAGACCCGATATAGTGACATGTAATGACATATTATGTATTGGCATTGCAGGCATTGTGTAGAACTAGAGACGATATAATGACATATTGGCATTGCAGGCATTGTGTAGAACTAGAGACAATATAATGACATATTATGAGTATATGTATTGAGTATTGACATATATTGAGTATATGTATTGAGTATTGACATATTGTGAGTATATGTATTGAGTATTGACATATTATGAGCGTATGCAGAAGTGTTCTAATTTTAACTGTTACCTGCTCTTTTGAGGGCGAATGTGGATATGACGTCTTTATGTAAACAATATCAGTTTTACACAGTATATTATTATTTGCAAAAAAAGTGTCATTAGTCAATCCCAGTTGCTTATCGGGCTACAAAATTATCGGTTGAATGTTCTGCCAAGTAGTACGTTTTAACTCGTAATATGCTAGACAGCCCCACAAACATACAGACAAACTGATTAACAAACTCACAAACTGACTGACAAACTTACATAATGAATGCGCGCACTTAACTAAGTATATTGAGGAACTTAACTAAGTATATTAAGGAACTTAACTAAGTATATTGAGGAACTTTGCTTTTGTAAAACTGTAATAATATGCCAGACAGCTCCGTTTCCCAAAATTGTAAAACAGACGAACAAACCGACAGTTACTTTAGATCTTACTCTAGAACTGACAGTTTACTAATAACTGACAAACTGACGGTTCCTTTAGATTTTACTTTAGAACTGACAGTTTACTAATAACTGACAAACTGACAGTTACTTTAGATCTTACTTTAGAACTGACAGTTTACTAATAACTGACAAACTGACAGTTACTTTAGATCTTACTTTAGAACTGACAGTTTACTAATAACTGACAAACTGACAGTTCCTTTAGATCTTACTTTAGAACTGACAGTTTACTAATAACTGACAAACTGACAGTTACTTTAGATCTTACTTTAGAACTGACAGTTTACTAATAACTGACAAACTGACAGTTACTTTAGATCTTACTTTAGAACTGACAGTTTACTAATAACTGACAAACTGACAGTTTACTAATAACTGACAAACTGACAGTTCCTTTAGATCTTACTCTAGAACTGACAGTTTACTAATAACTGACAAACTGACAGTTCCTTTAGATCTTACTTCAGAACTAACAGTTCACTAATAACTGACAAACTGACAGTTCCTTTAGATTTTACTTTAGAACTGACAGTTTACTAATAACTGACAAACTGACAGTTACTTTAGATCTTACTTTAGAACTGACAGTTTACTAATAACTGACAAACTAACAGACTTGGGGATTCTACATCCTATAGGGTAAGGTAAACTTATATTATATGAGGTACCTATTTGTTATATCTTACCAAATATGTAAGGTATTTAAGTTAAGTAGGTTATTATATTATTATTATATGTAGTATAAATTCTAACATTTATTAAACACTTCGAAATTACAATATACCCAACAAAGATAGGTAGGTAAAAAATATTTTGTAAAATTTACAACCGTTCAGATATTTATACAGGATAGTCACATGTTAGTGAGGTACGTTCCCATGCGGTTGGTATTTGCACGCAGATTTGCGCGCGCACGTGGGCGCATTATAATGAAATTAGTGAGGGTACAAACTCACCACATCAATATTGAGACAGCCCTGATACTGTAACGGCTCTATGTGCAGGTTCAACAAACTGTTTATATCTGATATGTACCTGGGGGGGATAAACACGTGTGTTAGATAAACGTTATGAGTATTTAGATTATTTAAAATGACAAGCAATAATTATAGAGATTTCTTTTACCTCATGCTTAAACGTATTTCTCATGTGACAGGAGATCAGGAGATGTTGTTGTTTCAGCTTGAGAATTTCTCACGAGTCATCATTTTAACAACAAGGTCGTCTACACGTTTCTAAACTGTTGTAATAGCGACACGTTTATTTCATTAGCCACACGTGTTTAATGAAAATTAAAGCGTGCGTAAATTTAACATCCGGAACAGTTTACTCTTAACCGTAACCCGTGTCAGTATTATACTACTTAGTACTTTAGCAGTGATTAGTTTTAGGCGAACTGTTTAAATATAGTTCTGGAGAAATACTGAAATATGGTGGAGGAGCTGCTAATGTAAGTGATGCAATATCTTAACTATTAAACAGCACCTATGTAGTACTTATAGTGAACTATGTGATTCTAGAGAGAGAGGCAACTCGTAGGAATACGTCACAAATGTGGTGACGTCATGCAAATGTGGTGACGTCACTTCTTTTAGCAAGCAGAGAACAGTGTGACCCTCACTTCTCCCGCCAAATAGCGGGCATATTTCCACCTCTCTCAAATAGCGGGCATGTTTCCACCTCTCTGCTTGTTATCATCTCAAGTTCCGGGGGTAATACTGCGGTTAAATCTCTCGTATTGAGAGAGAGGAGGAAATACAAATCAGACACGTGATCAGACATATCTCACACGTGATACGTTTTATCTAGACGTACATCATCGCACGCCTATATCTTGAGGTCATGAATAATTGATTGAACAGAATATGTACTAGTTGTAGAGATGATATGCACAGTACAGTACTACACAGTGCATATAGCATGTAGTATGTACGCTATACTCACATACTATATTGTAAAGAGGCGTGCATACTGGAGTGGGAATGGGGCTCAGTTATATTTATTAATTGTGCACCTTCTAGAATTTAGATGGAATGTCAGTTTCAATTGGAGCAGTAGCGGTTATTGTCACCACAAATACTAGAATTTACATCAGTGGACGCAGATCTGAATTTTGGTGGCAGATTATCGCTCTCCAATCTGACCAAGGTCGCAAGTATATAATGAATCTAGAGATAACATTGTAGTTAATATCTAACCAAGTCTGTTACACACATATTAATACACATTACACATGATTGCGATATTGGATACCTTTATAAGTGTACACTAGACATGTTCGGTCATGTAACGCTTTATGCTGGCTAATCAGTCTCATGTTACACTTCAGTACTGGTTTTATCAGACCCACTCCATTCCATGCGATACATTCTCAACATTCCGCTACATAACAAACACATGATCACGAGAAATATCCAGAGATATTCAGTGTCAATTATTAACATTTTGAATCCTTTATTCAACACATGATATTATAAAGGAGTAGTATTCAAGCAGGCGAGACTGGTAGGAGTCGTAAGACTACGAAATATTTTCCCAACAAGGCATAAACATAAAGTTCCGTACCAGGTGTTCCACTTGAGGTACTATAAATAGATTATAAATGGGTCGTCTCCAACTGGGATATAACGGGAGCTTGAACGCTCATTACCCACCCCCACCCATATACCGCTCCCTGATATAACTTTAGGTATAATAACTAATCCAGATACTTGTTAAAATATATTCTGTTATCTGGTTATACACACTGCTAACTAAGACACTACACAGCTAGGACAGGTTCTTACATGTTAAAAGTAAATAAACAAATACGGCGATCTCTTTTGTCTCAGGGTAAAGACGAATAATGTAGAAGCAAATCTTACTTTAATGTAGAAGCAAATCTTACTTTAATGTAGAAGCAAATCTTACTTTAATGTAGAAGCAACTCTTACTTTAATGTAGAAGTAAATCTTACTTTAATGTAGAAGCAAATCTTACTTTAATGTAGAAGCAAATCTTACTTTAAACTATTCATGAAAAATGCCGCACTTTCTAAAGGTCAGCACATATTCAGATGATACAAGGTGTAAAGGCCAGGTGTTCAGAAATGTACTATAAATAGCACTCTAATGTCTCCACCTGTATTGTGTCATAATACGACCATTCCCTGGAAATCAGCTCTTAAATCGACCTTAAGTACTAGATAATAGCTCAAATGCTTTTAGGCTTTCTGTTCAATAAAATATGTTTTATTACAGAGGCAAGGCAGATAAGATAAATTGACGAACTTTCTTTTATCTAAAGAATCAACCTGGTGAAGACTGGTTCGGTTAAAATTTGGCAGAGAGGAATCTAAATTCACAGACCAAAATTTGTGATGATCAGCATGTATTCAGCTTATAAAAGTTAACTTGATTACCCTAGATACAAAACTGCAGTTACGATATATAGGATTTTGGCTATTGAAGAACTAACCTCTGCTCGGATCTGATGAAATGGTCGATAGCACCGTGCACTTCCGGGTTTACAGCTTGTCTGTATTGCCTCCTCTCTCCTCTATCTCCTCCTCTCCCAAAGCTATTCTCCATCTCCAAATTCCCCAACACACTAGCTGAATCCCGGGGAGACCCCGGCCCCACATCCATCTTAGAAAAGTCATCATAACTCCCTCTTCTATCCCTCATCTGCCTGGCACGTGCAGTACTGGGCCGGGTCAGCGAGGAGTACATCTTGTTCTGTCTCAGATCATGTCGTGCTGATATCTTATCTATCAGTCCCTCGGACAACTCATCTGATTTGGAGGTGGTCTCCACAGGGCGGTGGATGGAGGTGGTCTCCACAGGGCGGTGGATGGAGGGGGCACTTCCTGTTCGGGAGCGGGCTGTTATTTCTTCAGATGGCAGGGTGGTCCGTATATAACTCTCTTCGTGGGTAGTGGGAGAGGATCCTGTCAAAGGGGGAATGGAGTCAGATACCGTTTATTATCCTCTAGCTCGGAATTACCATTTTTGGTTAAATTATGGTATCCAGCATAATTGGGTTCTTAACTCCTTACTTCCGTTCTTTTAACTGAGTAGTCTGTAGGATATTTCAACTACTAGACGTAACTGTGCACATTGGACATAAAGAGTAAAAATTTAGTATGCAATATCAAGTGTAGCATTTACACATAATGTACTACAAGCCGTGAGTAAACCCAGTAAAATTCCACTAAAATTCCGCCAAAAAGCTGATTTACCGAGAGGGCTGGTACGGTTGTGCTGGTTCCGCCAAAAAGCTGACTTACCGAGAGGGCTGGTACGGTTGTACTGGTTGTTGTACTTCTTGATTAGGTCCGGAGTTACTGGTGAGTCGCCTCCCACCGAGTGGTAGTCACTGTCCACATCTGATTGGAAGGTGGAGTTGCAGCTCTTCTTTTCTGTGCAGGATAGTAATATTAGCAATTTTAGCAGTGTTAGAAATGTTAGAAATGTTAGAAATGTTAGAAATGTTAGAAATGTTAGAAATGTTAGAAATGTTAGAAATGTTAGAAATGTTAGAAATGTTAGAAATGTTAGAAATGCTAAAAATGTTAGTAATCCTAAGCTTATCACGAGCGGTTCTCTTGATTGCTACTACTACTAGTTTATTCAATATTCACCTATCCAAGACTTATCATGACTTAGTGTGTGGCTAAGATCCTTTCTCCCAAGAAATGGATAACACATTTAAATTGTCCATTTTTACCACTTAGTTAGGCGTTGCCCAAACATTATACTTGAAAGAGTACGAATTGCCCCTAAATTCCATTCCAATCAAATAACATTAAGACCGATAATTAATTAAGACCGATAATCAGCCACCACGCCCAGTTGGTTTCCTACACTAACCCCTGCCAAGATGCGGCCTGTACCGCTGTCTGCTTGCATTTCCTGCAGTCAGAGGTAGAGCCTACTCTCAGTGTACAGTGTGTAGAGCCTACTCTCAGTGTACAGTGTGTAGAGCCTACTCTCAGTGTACAGTATTGAGAGCACATGATAATGGTATAACGATACACGCACCTAGTGGTACTATGTATAGAATGCTTAGTATGCGGAGTATGCGGAGTATCACCTTACCGTACCTTATATACCGTACCTGGGTAGCAAATGCCACGTTACACTTACCGGAATGGTAATATTACGTAATATAATGAGAGTTTTAAGCTTCATATTTTATTGATGCAGACGGAAATGTTAGTTTATGGTGCGAAAATGAGACATTGTTTGCAATTTTAGTCTCATGGGGTTGGTACTGTTGAGATAAGATATTGTACCTGATCGTGATGTTACATACTACAGGATGGTGAGGGTAATAAAGTCCCATACAGCGATATTGGTTGCAACACGTAGCAACCACCACTTTATAAATTCATTGCTGTAACAGGTTAATACAGCGAGAAGTTGTAATTAATATTTAATCGATATGTGTCTGAGGAAACTCTCACTATCTGTTTATTGCCTGCCAAATTGTGATTTATTGGTATTTACAATAACATCAAGTGGAGGGAGCGTGCATAAATTCGTTAATTTAGCATAAATACAATTAATTATTATTGTTATGCAATATTATCATATTTGTTTAAGCGGGAGTAAAGCTTATTTCAACAGGGAAACGCATCATGTTGCACTTTGCAGCCATGTGATAGGTAGCGAGCCAATAACAAGGCTAACTGGGCAGATATCCTCCAATCAGGAGACAGTATAGTATGTGAAGGGGGGCCAATCAGGTTATAGTATTACAGTGACTCAGCCAATGAGAATATAGGAAAGATATTACCTCAACAAGTCTAGGGTTAGGAAGTGAGAGGGGCATATTATTAACTAGGTAGTAATCAACTAACATGTGTAACTAGGTAGTTATCAACTAACAGGGGCATAGTGCAACATACACCTTCAGGGTGTTCTGTAGATCACTCAACCGCAGGGGGGTTGGGGGGGGGGGGGGTTGGGGGGGGTGCAACCAACTCTGGGCACCTTGGTGGGGGTCGGTAATTGAAAACACGGAGTAATTTAATATCATGACTTTATGGGAAAAGAAGAGGGATTACTCGGGAGACTAATGTGAAACACTTGTGACACTAGGCAGAGGTTAGATTGGAACGTACGTGCTTTGTTATGGTGTTGAGCTGCCATAGAAAAAATCATTCTAGAATATTATTTTTATTTTTTCATAATCCAGAGCATTTCGGGTAAAAGCGATTGGAAAATACACTGATTTGCTATTTTATCAAGAACACCTAGTTTCATACTTCCTACCTGTAGTTCCCTGCTCCCTTTCACACATCCTTACCAAGGATTCTCAACGTGTACTACACACGATGTGAAACTTCTAGTAAACACACTCGCACACAAATATGTGTTTATTTTGCTTGTTAAATCGAACAAACTCTCACATACCTCAGTATTCTGAATCCACACAGGGCACATTACTCTAACTGGGCGACACACTACTATTTTAAACAAGCACCTACACTTATAGTATGTAGAACCAATTAACCTTGCTTCCCGATGTATTGTACACTTAATAGGGTGAACATTCTCTCCCTCCCTGCTCAGAAAACATACTAACAGACTATTAACATCTAACATTTAACTGAATTTACACAATGTTTAGTTTATTCAAAATTTTATCACGGCTTTTCCACAGAAAAAGATCTTAAGATGTTACGTTACTTAAAGAAAGTAAGGGAAAAGGATAACTTTTATCAAAGGAGGACGGACATTTTATTTGAGAGTTTCAGTAAAGATAAACTTTGTGTGAGATGATAAAATCACACGTGTGAAAAAAGAAACATGTAAACTAATCATAATTGGTTTAACCTGAGAGGAATTCAGCAGGGGGTGGAGGAGTAATAAAAGAAGCGAGGTAGTCTTCAGTCAGCAAAACTGTCATACTGAAACAAGATACAGTGAATAACGTAGTATTTAGGTAGAATATAAAAAAGCTAAAAAGGAGGTAAGATCCACTGCTTAACTGCTTCTTCCATGTTTCATAGCCGCCAATAAAGCCGCCAACTTTTGCTGCGTTTATGACACGGGTAATAGATGTGACCATAGTAACACTACTAGTTACCATAGCTACCATAAGATGTGACCATGTCTCTGAAGGTGACAGTTTAATAACCCATAGTTTTTAAGTGACAGGTCAGCTAAGAATATAGCTCTAGAGCGGTTGGTTTTTATCAAAATCTGTGTCTGTGACGATAACTTCTGAAGCCTAGGTAGTTTCTCTAATTTAATATTACAAAGTGTTAATGAAAAGTTGGACCAGCCCAATGTATCTCGATGACGCACAGACGTGTGATAATACAAAGTCACAAAACGGTGACTTTGATTGCACAGAGAAAAGTTGTTCAGCTCAATTGATATCGAATTAGGTACTTTTTTATTTCAAATTATCACAACCACCATTGCCTTGAATTGATCTAGAGCCAAGTATTCAATGGAAAAATTAATGTATACTGCAATGTTACAACATTTACAGCTTTGATAAATCCCTTACAAAGCCTAAATACCTATATACCCTGAAATCAATTCAGATACCTGTGATATTAATTTTACCTGCCAGGTGGAGGGGGGACGATAAAAATGTCCTCCATTTGACTAACAGCTGTGATCTGAAAAATTGATTATAATACGACTCTCATTATTGAAAGTTCTTCCTTCAAAACTCAAATATGGATTACAAAATAGATTAAAAAACTTATATAAATGATTACCATAGTCATCATATTTTCTGTTTCCTTCTGTTAATGAGTCATTTTCCAAGATTCCATTGATAGTTCAACTAATAAAAGATAGAGGGATTAAAATAATAGATAGACTCCCGATCCCATTAATCGTTTTATGTCCTGAATTTTATAAAGAAGAAGAAAGTAAGTTTCATTAAAAGAGCAATCAATTATGCTTCTTAAACTGAAGGGTATCAATTACTCAACTGTTATTGTTACAATCGAAATGTGGCATAGCCGCTATGTTGTGTTTGTTAGCTGGTCAAAAAATTTGAATGTGCAGTTAGAATTGCTCGAGCGCAGGCAACAAGGTTACCAGGTTAAGGTTTTTCTGCCATCATCAAGTTCTAAAGAACCATCTTAACCAAGCAGGAGAGTAAGAACAAACAACAAAGAAGCCTCGGCTATGTAAGGTGGCCTAATGATTAGAGTGGCCTAGTGATTAGAGTTTCCGCCTTTTGTATAGAAGGGCCAGGGTTTTAATACTTTCAGCGCTGCTATATAACAAATAATTTGAGTTCAGGGAAAGTATGTCGTAATTCCCTCAAAAGGGTGTCGTAAGTTTACACGTTGCTTTAACAGCTGATTGTTTTGACTTTTGCTGGCTGTTTGTTTTAACTTTCGCTGAGTATGGGTGACAACAACAAGAGTAACAAGAGAGCCTCATCTATTACCAATATGTCTCGGATTCCTTCCCCTGCGGACAAAAAGGCAAAGTCCCGAATCAAGAACAACACTCCAGGACCAGAGGCGAAGGGAAAGGATGTATCTTGTGAAACTATTGTTGTAGACAGTGATGTAACACCCCAAAGTTTGACAGTTCACACAGAGACAAGACGAAATGTCCTTGTAGTAAGTCAATATCGTCATGGAAGATTGACTGTGTAAAGTGCAAGCAATATTGGCACATAGACTGTCTAACTATGAATGGACTCAACCAGAAAAATGTCAACAGCATGACCAATTGGCACTGCCCTTTTTGTTTGGTTTCACCAATTCCCACATTCGAAACTGCTGCAGATGTGTGTTATGTGTGTAGGAACACTCTGACACTTCAAAAATCTAACAGTCAGTGTGAGACAGCTATTTCCACAGAGAAGCTTAATACCATCACAGCTTTTGGTGAAAAGCTTGCCAAGGTTGACTTTGACAGTCTAAACGACAGCATTGCTGCCATCCAGAACCTTGACCTCCATATCAAGCACCTACTGGTTAGTGACAAGGGCACTGCTCCAGCATGGGTTGAAGTGATGGAAGGAGATCTAAAGCAGCTGAAAACTTCAGTTGACTCTACCCTCGGAAAGGTTTCTGAGACTGATAGTGGCCTAACAGAACAGATTAAAGTGTTGAACAAGCAACTGCAGGACTTTTCTATTCCTCAAGTAAGTTCTCAATCTTCATCCAAGACCAATGATCTCATGGAAAAAATAGAGAAGAATCTCCATGAGCTAAATTCCAAGCAGTCTCTGGAGACGAATCAGGAGCTAACAGCCATTAGACAGTCTTTGAACACTCTTGAGCGAAATTCTTTGGCTTCTTCTGACCATTTAAACGTCCAACTTACCAGTTCTTCACTTGCCCCTGGCCCAGACCTAATAGCTCATGAGCATCTCCAATCAAAAGAAGAACCAGTTGTAGGCGCTATAGAAGAGTTTATTACCACAGAAGAGCAGGAAACTCTCCTCCTTGCCTGCCAATCACTTGACGAGGATTTTGTTGTGGAGGGAGCTCGTGCTGTGTATTCTTTGGGAGAACCATACAAGTATAATGGCTCCAAGTCATCCAATGGCCAACTATCTTCAACTAGCTTCTCCAATCTAATGGACAAAATCAATGGTGCATTCTGTAGTGGTGAAAAACCGAGGTGAAAACCTGCTGATCAACCGCTTCAAAGAGGATGGCTCCCTACCGAAACACTCGGATGATGAAACTACCATCCACCCTGAATCCGAAATTTTCACTGTGTCTATTGGAGGCCAGTGCAACATCAAATTCTTTGATAAGAAGACGGATCATATGGCTCTTGACCATACATGTGTGCCAAGATCCATGTATCGCATGACTCGACGTAGCCAAGAGTTCTACAGCCACTGTATCGAGGATGGGGCAATAACTGGTGGGGTGAGATACAGCCTAACTTTTCGTTCAGTTAGCTTTAGGAACAGGAACTCTACATGCATCATCGGAGACTCGCATACTGGTGGTCTCAAATTCGGGCTGGACCCCAAAAAATCATTTGGGCAGTGGCTCCCCGGAAAACAGTATTTTGCTCCGCTAGTGGGGGATATAAATCCTACAGTTTCATGTGGATACAGGAATATTCTCTTGATGTGTGGTATAAATGATATCAGGAAACCTGAGATCAAAAATACCGCTGATATAAAGAACAATGTTTTTAAACCATTTGTTCAGAAAGTAGAAATGATCCAAGCGCTTAACCCCAAAGCGAATATATTTGTGTGTCCGCTGCTGCCAACCAAACTCGTTGAGCTAAATCGTAAAGTTGTACATTATAATGAATTAATTTTTAAGGAGCTGCTCCATTCCAACTTTGGTGTGACTTTGGTACCTGGTTTTGACATGTTCTGTGATGAGGCTGGGCTCCTAAGCCAGCAATTCTCTAGGAACATTGGACGAAACCAGAGACCGGACTATTTACACCTTAATTGGAGTGGTACAGCAAAACTGGGGGTTCTTATACGTGATACAATACTTTTAAGGATGAATGGAGGGACTGATAGAAGGAAGAAGAGATCGGATAAAGTTGACAATCGCTTATACTCCCAGACGATGGGTGGTTCCTCTCCTGCTGCTGCTGCGACTCAACAAGGGGAAGGTTACGTACCGTACCCATGAATAAATTGACCAAAGAGGTATGCCCTGTCTGTACAAAATTCATTTCCATTGGCCAATTCATTGCTGAATGTTGTAGGTGTGACTGTGCTATGCACCATAAATGCTATACTAAATCCAGTACAAACAAAATATATGAAGATTTTTACTGCCCTAACTGTGTACACTTAGCAAGTACTCGTTACAATCCGTTTATATATGAAGATACTGACTCTGAAAATAATAGTACTGACATTGATGAAACACTTGTAAACATCAACCGATTACTCAATAACTGTAACCCATATAGTGTTAAAGAATTTAATAAAACATTTTGCAACCAAATGAACGAGTACTCATCATTATTATTTCAAAATATCGATGGTAATAAATCTAACTTTGATACTCTGGCAATAGAACTACAGAGATATATGAAATTTTCGATCATTGCTTTAGCAGAAACAAATGAAGGCCCCGAATTAAGTGACCTTTACCAACTGACTGGATACAATAGTTTCTATCAAAACACTTTGCAAGATAAAAGAAAAGGCACTGGAGTCGCTCTTTATGTATGTGATACCCTCAGTGCTACAGTAAATGGCAATTTGTCCCATATATCTGAAAACCTAGAAACTCTATTTGTTACGATAAGCAGCAAGAATACTCCGGTCACTGTTGGTGTAGTTTATCGCCCTCCAAGTGGTGATGTAAATGTTGCATTATTAGAACTCTCAGCAATTCTCAATAATTTGCCGAAATGCAGTTACCTGGCAGGTGATTTCAACATTGATCTACATAATAAGGATAATGCGATTGTAAAACGTTATGAGGAAGTCCTGTTCAGTAGAGGATTTTTTCCCCTAATATCTCTGCCAACTCATGAGAAGCCAGGTTGTAAAGCATCGTGTATTGACAATATTATAACTAACGATGTAGAGAGTATAATAGCCTCAGGCACACTTACTGATCGTATATCCCACCACTCACCAGTCTTTCAAATATTTGAAAAGAGTATGGGATCCACTAAGAGTAACCTAAAATATAAACAATATTACGACTACTGTAAGTCTAATGTTACCTCTTTTGTAAAGGACTTGGAACATGAATTAGAGAATAAAGTAATTGACAACTTCACGGTATTTCATGATGTTTTCAAAAGTAGTATCGATAAAACGTGTAAGTTGGCAACCCCTAAGTCTTCCAAAAGAACTACACAAAATAACCCATGGATCACACCTGGGCTTATAGCCAAAATCAAGCATCAGCACCAACTCTATGACAATTGGGCTAAAGTTAGAAAGAAAAAATGTAAACTTGGTGAAACTGATTATAAAGGTGGAACATGTCAATGCTTGAAATGTTGTGAAAAACGTTCTAGATACAAAACTTACAAGGATTATAGAAGGATGGTTAAAAAAGATCGCAAAGATGTTCAAACTAAGTATTTTATGGGAAAATTTGCAGACACAAACGGTAATAGTAAGAAGACATGGGAACTGATTAATCAAATACGGGGCAAACAGAAACGGCAAATAAAACCACTGTTTACTATAAACAATGAGAAGATAACCAATCGTAGAGTAATAGCCAATGAATTTAATAAGTATTTTGTCTCTCTAGCGTCTAATTTAAACGGGGCATATAATGAAATTGGAGAACTAACTATTAACAATCTTCCTAGTTTTTATGACTACCTGCCTAGAGCAAACACGTCCAGTATTTTCATGAATGACTGTACAGCTGACGAGGTTAGAATGATTATATCTGAACTGAAGAATGGGAAGTCATCCGACATCCCAATACATATAGTTAAAGAATCGTCTAAAGTGATCTGTCCTATACTTTCTTTATTATACAGTGAATGCATGAGGAATGGAGTATTCCCAGATGATTTAAAGACTGGGAGAATCAGTCCGATCTATAAGAAGGATAATGAGGAATTGCTAGAAAACTATTGGCCAGTATCAACCTTAGCTGTTTTTGGTAAGATATTTGAAAAAATTATTTACAACAGACTGTATAGCTTCTTTCAGTCCCAGGAAATGATTTACGAGAACCAGTACGGATTTAGAAAAAATCACTCCACAAGCCATGCCCTCAACTCCTCAGTGAATTACATAGAATCCTGTCTTAGCAAAAAACTGCATGTACTTGGAATATTTATTGATCTATCTAAAGCGTTTGACACGATCTCACATGAAAAACTACTTAATAAACTAGACAACTATGGAATACGTGGAAACGCCAATAGACTCATCGCTAGTTATCTCTCTAATAGATATCAATATGTCTCTGTACTGGGCGAAGAGTCTGACAAGCTGCCTGTTCTCTTTGGAGTTCCCCAAGGCTCTTGTCTCGGACCCTTGCTATTTATAATATATGTTAACGACTTATTTAGAACAACTGATCTGGGCAAGTTCATACTATTTGCAGATGACACAAACATATTCGTAGTAGATGAATGTAGAAAAAAACTGTATGAAAGAGCAAACGAAATTCTCCGTTTGTTACACCAGTACATGAAATGCAATCTATTACATATAAATATAAAGAAATGCTGCTACATTCACTTCAATCCGTCACGTACAGCTACTGATAATGAGGCAGTTAACGAATCAGAATATATACTAACTCTGAATAATACGGTAATAAAGCAAGTTAGAGAGACCAAGTTTTTAGGTGTT